TGTCTCAGATTTAGAAGGTATGTGTGGGGAGGGTAGGGGTGGGAGGATGGCAGTGCCACAGTACAGGAAACATCAAATCATCCTCTACAACTCTGCTGAATTACAGCAAGGGTGAATACGTCCTTTTGCAAAGCAGAGACTGGCCCCGCAGCCCCCTGCAGCAGACATCCAGTCTTACGTGACATTTTCCTCCCCCCTAAGACAACATTAGCAATCACAGGGGGAAAAAAATAGATACCATGCTGCAACTTGTGTAGTCTGCAGTAACCACTAACTGCAGGTAGTTGAAAACTGCCCCATTCACAATTTCCAAAAGTGTCACTAACTCCCTCACTCTGCCCCATGGAGACCCCGCAGGAAATCATTCTGGAAATACCTGATGTGGAAGTCAGCCCGAGGCCAGAAATACAAAACTGTCCTCTCCGTAACTGCATTATTGCAGAAAACAATGCACGGCAGCGCTAAAGTGGTCCAACTACACATTTTTAAACTCTCCCACCTTTGAATTTCTTTTTAGCCTGTCCCCTGGATTTCCCACATTACTGAACAGGGAACAAGTTGCAACATCCCTGTCATGTTTTATACCTTTAAGTTACTGCTCCATGTCTCAGTTGGGACAAGGTTTTTCCTGGAATATGCAACCACAACTAGTGGATGTTGCCCAAGGTGCTGCAGTATCCACTCTGCTGGATTAAAAGCAGGAAGTGACACATTTTAAAGCAGATTTAGATGCTATTTGCAAGCTTCCCAATTTCTCCTTGGAGACTTGCTGGCAGGCAGCCAGCTTGAGTTCAGATTGAGTCCAAAGTCCAGGAGGCTTTTAAAAATAAATAACTGCACTCTCAGCATCTCAGAGCAATTCACAACTGTTCACTAAGCCTCTCCATAACACTGGCCCTCTGTACCATACTCACGTTATAGGTAATCTGGGGCACGCCTTGCCTGATATCGCTCACCAAGTCAAGGCTCCAGAGCAACAGCAGGAGGCCCTTGCTTAAACCATCAGATTTCACTGCCGTCCCAAACAATGTCATGCCCTCTCTGAAGCCAAAGATAGAGTTAAAGGCATCTTACAACGGGTGCTAACACGGGGCAATGAGGTGGATGGACAAACCAACCGACCGAGGGCTCATCTGATTACTGCAGCCGGCAGGATGAAGCCCTGCATAGAGAAGTATTTTCCAAGAGAGAACGTAAATTGGTGCGATGTTAGGGCAAAATCTCTGCTACGTTTCTGTCAACCTCGGACCTGGATTCGATGGCTCCGAAGGTCCCCTGAAGTCCCGGGTCCCTCATGGAACACCAGGAGCTCCCTGCCAAAAGTTTAATTCATCCCATAAAATACTGGCAGCCACTGGCACCACTCCTGCCATGGGAGCAGAGGCACGATGAAAAGTAACCCACCGTGGGCCCGTTCAAGAAAATGACAGCTGAGATGCAACGACCTGGGAACGCTAGCACACCCCTCGTGTCGGGAGAAGCAGCAACGCATCCACAGACAATCCCCGTGCAAGAGAGGGTCGGACCCTAAGGGCGTCTTGCCTAGTCTCCTGTGTCACAGCAGCAGAGAGCGGATGCTGAAAAGGAGAGTGAACTGTCTTCCACCGCTCCTCTCACTCGCAGCCTCCAGCACTCAGGGTCCAGGAAGCTCCGATTCACGTGCCCCTCGCTCCCACGCTCCGTGGCAGCTGATTCACCTTTCCTCCACGAACGCCTCCGGTCCTGGTTTGAATCTGGCTGAACTGCCCTGGTTAGCGTAGAGACACAGCGGTGAATTAATCACTGTTCATGGGGCGCTCCGAGATGCGTGCGCAAAGAGTAAAACCAGCGGTTCTCAGTTGTCACTGCTCTGCACCACGAAAACCGCAGGGGATGCTTTTTTTACAGGGAAGCCAGAGCAGGGCCAGGGGGCTGCTGTGGAGGCGACTGGATGCAGTACAAGGATCCCCTGGTACTTAAAGGATTTCCTTCCCACCGCCAGCTTTTAGGGAGCGCCACCCCGCCCGTGCCCGAGCTGCGGCCCCTTTGCCCGGTCGCTGCGGACGCCAGCCCTTCCCCTTCCCGCAAGCTCTGCCCTCGTCCCGCTCGCCGCAACGGGCTGCGCTGGGCCCCGGCCTGCCAGGGCGGCTCGCCGGTCTCGCCGACTTACGGGCCCCGGCGCGTCGGCAGGCTCCCGGGACGCGGCCCGCAAC